ATTTTATTACTAATATTAGAAAAATGTGTGGTATTTAATGATTTTATTTGATACCTGTAAACAGAAAAGTGGCTGTTCAGCACTGCATGGACCTTGATAGATGTTTTCGGCTTAAAATTATTGCACAGGAGAAGCCATTGTTACACAAAGTATGTTACACAAAGCTTGAATTAACAATAGGATGTTGGAAGTTCCTTTAGGAATACTCTGGCAGTGACAGGGGCACATTCTTTGAAGTGCTATGTTGGAAGCAATTCTCTGTATTTGATAAAGGTATTCTATTTGAAATGCTGTGAAACAATCATTACTCACTTAAGCCCTTTTGACCAATGAACCTGAAACCATCCTGAAGCATTAAACTTACATTTTTCTTAGCATCCCTACTGTATCAGGGCAAGGATAATGTTGAGAAATTTTATTGCTGCTTATAAGCAGGGATAGCATTAGTCATCAGAGTCATTATTAAATTATATTATTTGTTTAATGGACCTACAGTATATTTTGAATTGCCAAAAAATCAATTACGATCTTTTTCTAGGAATTATAGGATAGGACCTACAAGCACACATAAATACAAATTTATGTGAGACTGTTCTAGTAGGAACCAGACTGAAGTCTGAATTGCTGTGATAATTGCTAACTGTATAAAGCCTTTCTTATTTCTAAGAGCTGGAAGTTGGTGCCATTGAAAGATAGTGTTTGTGTCAGACATGTTTATACTTTGACCTTAAGTCAAAGCTTGAAGTTTGGCCAAAAGTGATGTTACACATTAACAGTCATTACCTCACAGTTATTCACTGTGTCTGCAAATTACTTCAGATATGATTATGAGGGAGTTTTTTTCCCCTAGCATTAAGAATGGCATTCAGTTATTTGAATGTAAATGCTTAGTGCCACTTTCATGCCCTTAGTTGCCCAAGGCACTTGCATAGCATTGACATCTACCATTTGCAGACAACTAAAGGCCTACATCTTTCTGGAATGGCAGAGGGAAACCAAGCAGGATAGGCCACGACATCCAAAATAGGATGTGACATCTGTTATTAGGGATCAGAATCCTCCTGTTATCCTTTTAGTTATATTCTTTTTTTTTTTTTAGTGACTTTTCATTTCTGGTTTCCTGCAATACTCTCTAACAGCTGATGTTATTTGCCTTCCACACAATCCTGCAGATCCACAAGAGTTCAGCAGCATTCAGTTTCTTAAGAGACTGTTCCAGCTAATGCTCTGTTTAAAGATCTTACATGAATTGTAATTTCTGTAGTGTCTTTTGAATTTCATAACCATAGTTTCATGTTAAGTTGTGTATAATTCATATCAGATAATAATTATACATGTTCATGAATGACTAAAATATAAATGTTTTTACAGAATATATACAGACATTATTTCGATTTTCATTGAAATGAAAGAAAGTTAATTGGCTTTTACAGGATATTTCTTTTCTACTTGAAAGAATTACAACTAGGTTAACCTTCTCTATTTGAGTTTCCAGTATGCAAAAATGATTTAGTTTTCTGTATTTATCATGAGATAAGCTTCACATATATGAACCACAGAATCTGAGACCTTATGCTTCAAGAGAATGTAGGGAGAATAGACTAAATGATTATGAACTAAGTTATAAATATATGTTATTTATGTAGTTCTCTCAAAAGCAGAATTTTTGCATTTTGCAAGAATGATAGGATAAACTGTTTTGTATAGCTCAACAAAGAACAGCAGTATGTGCCAGAATATCATGTACCTACTGGCTGTAAATCATGCAGTACAAATGTTTCAGTTGCTTACACTGAAACTAGATGTAAGACAGCACACAACCGGAGGGGATCGTGAAAGTAGTTCCAGTGTGATTTCAAACATAAAAAATCTGAAATTACTTTTTATTTGATAATGCAGCAGAAAATACAGAAAGTGATAGTGGCTGCTGAGGAATGAAGAAAAGTGTACCAGGGTCACTCACATAGACAGCTTGCAATATGACAAAAAAGTAGAATAAAGTGATTTGCAAGATTAGTTTGTACCTAAAACTGTACATTGTGGTAGGACAAAGTGTTTGCGTATTGATACCAACAACTTTTCATTGAAAAACCATCTCTAGGCTTGATTTGGAAGGATATGTACAACCATGCTGTTTGTCTTTGCTTTCAACTTTCTGTCCATCTCTACCAATAACTGTGCGACTCAGCAGCTGATTTCAGCCAAGTGTGACAGAACAGGCAGTGATTTCAAAAGTATTAAGTCCAAATATGAAAATTAGCGGCTGTATAGGAATAAAGAAACTCAAATTAATGCCTCTGAAGGGCGAATGGGTAGAACATGAACCCAACAGTTGCATGGTCTGGCTGATCTGCCATCTGGCTGATCAGCACATGGAGTGGTTTCCATTTCCATGGCCAATTGTCTGACTTGGGCTGTAACTCTGTCCAGATCACAGCTGTAAAGTTCCCTGACCCTTTTTGTGTGTATTGGAAGAGATTTGATACTCGCTTTTCAGCAACACGAACTTTAAGGAAATAAGAAAACCAGAATTCGTGAACTCTGCATAGGCAAATGTTGATTTAATGTTGAAAAAGAGTCCGTCTAGAAAGTAAATTTTGAGATTCTGAGCAAAAAAGCATTGAAAGTTGTTAATTTTTGCTACATTTCTCAGGATTTCTGTAGTTTTTAGCAGTTGTCCCACAAGTTTTCCTCAAGCAAAGTAATTCAGATTTCATAGTGCTTAGTGACAGGAATACTGCTGCTTGGGAGTGGGCTGTAAATCTTGGGTGGCTGTAGTAATTCTCAAGGGAATAGCATATGTCACCACAAATGAAGTGTGAAGCTTTCCTGTCTCATATACATTGGAGAGAAAACTCATGTAGTAAAGACTCAACAGCTTGGTAAATCTCCACCTGAAAGAATGTAGTTTGCTTGAAGGACTCCAGGCAGACTAATGGCTTCCAGCTGGAATTGCATGCATGTGTGGGTTTTTTGTTGGATAGTTATATTAGCATAAGTATTGGGTTTGTTTCCTGTGAAGGTCTGAATAGGGAAACAGTTTTAGAGCCTGGCAAATCAATAATCCCCACACAGAATATTGCTGGAGATTTATAGCTGTAATGTTTAGCTTTCCTTAATTTCCACAGTTTTCTCTCTTTCTTCACCATCAATCTGCTCATCTCCCCACGTTCTAGTAACAGAGATACACTAGCCTTCTTAAGGTTTTTTCCCCATCATAAACTCTTTGATGTTCTATGATTCAGCTATTTAGTTTTTTAATAAATTACGGCCTTTCGTTGTTGGTGTTTTTTTCTCTTGATACATAAAGTTCTGGTGAAATGTCAGCTTTAATTGTGTCATCCACACAACCTGCGTCCAAGGTTTCCAGCCAAAATGAGGTAGATTAACATTAGCCTTCAAATGAGTGTGCAGAAGTCAGTGTGTCATTCCTCCTTCTCTTGAAAATTCAGGCCTTCCCTGATGCCCAGAGCCAGAAAGTTGATAACCACTCATCAGGAGAGTTCATGGCCCCAGACTTTCATGTAGCAGAACATTTTGCCTACACAGCACCACATGACTTCACCAGGGCTCTGCAGGGAGGAACATGTGCCTCTGAGCAAAGGCTGCTACGAATGGCACTAATCCTTCATGATTCATGTCTACCCACAGGATGTACTTGTGGAAAAAAGGCTGCCAAACTGGGATTTCGAGTCATACGCGGTTTCTGCAAAGCATCCAGAATATTCCCATCCCACACAGATGTTTTATTATTTTATATTAATACACATTAAGGAAATACCACCTGAAGGCCAAGAACAATTTAAGCTGTATTGTGCTGGCATGAATAAAAATTGCGGTAAGCAACAGTCATGGCCCCCAAAGGGCTGTTGTCAGAAAGACAACATGGACCATATGGAAGAGATGGGCAGAAGAGGTACTGAGGGGAAAGGGAAGCAAGTAACTACTAATGAGATAAATGCAAGCACAAGGCTAATATCAGGTGTGGAATAGTTCCAATTAAAGATAGAATTTGTTCAATAACAAATATTATTATTTTGGTGAGCTGCTATCTCCAAGAGGACAAGCGTGGTAGAGTGAGGATATCTGTTCTCTTATGCATTATTGAGATTTCGTATGCATGCAAATGCTTTTGATTTCCTCCAAATGCAGTTGAGACAAAGAGCTTCCAACTACTTCAGAACCAGATGAAAGTGTCACAAGGAAGCTTAATTTTTCAAGATGTGTTACGAATATACATGATCTAAGTTGTGTCCCAATGCATTTATTAAATACCAAACTACTCTGTGCCCCCTTTTTCACCCATATCTTTCGCACTTCTTTCCATTTCTAGTTACATAACCATATTAATTATATATCTGTAATGATACATAATTCAAGTACGAGTTGTTATTACAGTTACTACCTTCTCAAGCCTTTATATTACTGGTTGTGTCATATTTATGGACAAATCCTGCACTCCTGGCTCATGCAAGTAGATCTATTAAATTTAGAGGAGGTATCTTTCAATTAATTTTCATTCATATAATAATGACACATCAAACAGCGATGTTCAGCTTAGATTTTTTCTGTCAATCTTAATTTTAGAAGTACCCATGCAAATACATTTTGTTTTCTCTGATTGTCTTCCTTTTATGAAATGCTGAAGAGAGAACCATAAAATTCACAGTAGTGAGGCTTTGAATTCTGTATCATTATTGGGCTATCACAGTCTGCATTCTTTTTTACAAGATTCCCCTGTTGTCTGCAACCCAAGGGAAATAATCCATTGCAGGAAACATTTTAAATAGTCACGTAAACACAGAATAAAATATCGTTTATTTTATGTATAAATGTATTGATACTTGCATTTTCTTCATTTTTAAAAAATGCTCAAAACATCAAGAATTCTAGGGTTTAATTTCTTCTTTTGAAGGATTACGAAAAGACAATTGTGCTGTCTCTTATTTAATTAAAAGGGAGTCCAGGCTGTTTGATCTATCCCAAAGATCTTCCTTTATTGAAAATTGTAGGTAATTATTGAAAGGTGTTATAATGCAAGTAGCTATATATAGTGTAATATTTTCATGGACTAATTGTCGTAGCCACCATGCAACAGAAGGACCTGTGTCAAAATAGAGGCTGAGAAAGGATAATGGAATAGGAGGCAACCATTTTAAGTCTTTACCTTTCAGAAAGAAGCATAACTAAAGTGTGGAGGCAAAATTAAAGTGCCTTAGGGTGTGAAAGGGTTCAGGATCATATGTGCCTGTGTGTGTTTGTACATACATTTATGTATATGTTTTGCATGCAACATTCTAGAAATAATAGCTCTAATTTTCTATTTCTTATATATTATACACAAGATTTCTTCATAGAGAATCTTCAGCCTTATTAATGTAGATTATTATTTCAACTTGTTCTCAGTATTTTGCTACATTCTCGGGACATCCATTTTAAATACTCTATTTCTTATTTACTAATTATTTAATAGGTTTGTCCACACGTGTAAGGTGCTTTTACGAGATGTATTTTGATTCTAGAGGAAAGCTCTTACTATGGTAGTGTGGGTTTCTTTCACCAAGGCAGCAGTTGTTGGCCTCAGGGCACTCATTGAGCTGGAAGTAGAGAACAGGTTATGATTAGGTGCATGCGAGAATTATATTTTGCATCTCTGTGTGCAGAATTTAGTTGGAGATTCTTTCTTTCCCCCAGCACATTTTAGATAAGAGATTTCTCTTTTTCTTGCTCAGTTGTGGTGCTCTCAGTTTTAACTGCTGGCGTTTCATTCTTTCCTTCTGCAAAATAGTTATGACTGTCCTAAGTCATCTCTTAGTAAATCTATCTTTTGGTGTCAATATCAGTTGCTGGATTATTTTTTGATCAAGCAAGTCATATTAGGAAGGATGAAATTTTATCCTAGTTTACCAAGATCAGACAAGGGGACACCTCATAACCTTAAATGAAAGTACTGTTAACCTCACAATGATAAATACACATAACCTGGCTTCCCAGAAAGCAGATGAGTAAGGACACCCTTCTGAGCTTAGTCCTTAACTTTCATCATAAAATCAGAACTGAAATGATGGAAATTGCCTAAGAACCTAAATATACTGAAATATTCCTTTGGTGAGCCTGCAGAATCTACTTTTTATTGAAGTAAATAATGTTACTAAATTATTTGAAGCATTCACTCAATTTGAGAGTTTAAACGAGGCCACACAGGGCCGGGTTTTCTGGTTAACTAATCCTTCCTGTTCTCTAAGGCATAGCCTTTTATACTCAAATGTCCTGTTATCAAAGAATCCTACTTGTTCTGGGTTTCTCCTAGTTGTCTGTGGAGCACATATGCATCTCTCTGAGGTTAAAAGTGTTAGTGACACTTGGAAATAGGGTACCCACTCAGCTAGAGCATTGTTCTGATCCTCAATATAGAAACTGAGGATCACTTTCTTGTTTTGTTCAGTTTGATTTCTCTTGACTGGAGTTTGAAAGTACTAGGGGAATTTTGCCAGTGCCCTATTTCAAGGAAATCTTATTAATCACTTTCAGTCATACTGCACAGTTTCCTGCTGTGTATTGTTGCTGAAGAAGGAAATTCCAGCCTTATATTTTCATTAATGATCGCAGAAAGTTGGACTAGTACTACTGGGAAACATTGAATCAAGAGGGGTTATATGAAGATTTTTTATAATGTGCACTACATTGTAAGAGAAAAGTTGTGCCATGGTCCTATCCTGTCTGCAATGAGGGTTAAGCAATATGAAAGCACCAGCTAAAGCAGTTACCTACAGAGAATAGTAGCCTTAAGAAAGTACTATAGGCATCTCTAGCTGTCTCATAATATGCTGAGAACTTGCAAAATATAAGGAATCAAGCTCTCAACAGGTTCTTGTAAAGTTTGACTTTTTTAAAGCAGGCTAATGAACAAAAAGCAAGGTACACCAACACCCTGAGAACATCCACTCTCTGAATGCTCTCTGCATTTCTATACATCAATGTCTTCACCCTTTCTTATTCACAGACTATATACTCTTAAAAAAGAATTACAAACCTTCTTGTGCAGAATTACATAAGAAAATAGTTTAGGTCAAACTTTGCATTTTCATTTGCTGTTGGTATTTTTTCTGTTTTGTTTCTGTTCTTGTTTTGACAATGTGGGAATCATGTTACCTTTTGGGGGTCTGTTTTCTGGGGTATGTTGTGGACAGGTAGTGGCCCAAAGACTACTGACTGAGGGTACACTGCCAAGCACCATGGTTTGGGAATCCATGAGCCAAGCTAAGTTATCTAATGAATCAGACCTCATGAAATGCTTCTTCCTCTTGAGTTAGAGGATGAGACCCTTCAAAATCTTCTGAAAATATAGTTTAAACTTAGATGCCCAACATTACTTAGAATAGCTGACTTGCTCTCCTATTTGTCTAATTTACATGAAGGATGAGAATTTTACTTCTACTTATAGATAGTTATGTATTTGCAGTCTCCTGATGCATTGCTCATATTGATATATGACGAGTTGATTTTTGAAATGTATTTCAAATCCCATTATATTTGCAATATACTCTAAGTATAGCACTTAATGCAGTGTTTCATAGTGATTCAGAATAGAGGTAAGTGACTCAGAACCAGGGAGAAGTAACTAAAGTATTTTGACTGCTCTTGAAGGCGTTTCTGTCATAAGGAGATACTGGGAAAGAATGAAAATATTTCATCAGTACAAATTAAGTCAGAGAAGAAAATGGAGCACAGCAATGGTCAGTATTGATACTCTGTATTGGATGGAAGATAAGAAGCCTGTAGAAGAAATAAAAGCTGGTGCTGGTGTGCTCCAACATGCTGTTTGGAAAAAATATAAACAACAGCCTCAGGTATTTTGAGGAATTAAGACTTTAGAGAGCAGTACCTATGGAGCAACATTGAAAGAGAAAAGAATTAAAAGTTTCTTAGCAAAGACAGATATAACCCATTTGTTATAAATTTTTGCTGATTTTGAAGTTTACGTAGTATATGCTAAAAACTTGTTTGACGTAAAGTGGGTTTTGTATCCTCACTTTGCATTTGAAATATTGCATAAACTACAATACTTTTAAATACTCTATCTTATGTAAGCACTGAAAGTTGTCTCCATTTTTTTATTTCCTCTTGATAAATAGTTTGCTTAGCTTGTTGACACAGGACTTTTTTTATTGAAATCTAGTGGAAGCCTCTAAGAATTCTTACACATTTATGATGTATGAAGTCTCACTTAATTGGTCTTGTGCTGTTTCCATTGTCTGCTGAGTTCAGTTTGCTTCCTGACTGAGTTTAATGAACTTGCTGTCTGTAGGGAACATTGATATTAATGCCAAGCACTGCTCTGAGGCCCCAGGCAGGACTGGTACAAGGTGCTGTGCAAACACACAGATGTCATGATGAGCCCCAGTGTTATTTTGCCACATTTATTACTTTAGTTTCACACATGCAGCGACTTCATCTAAAAAGTTTTTCTTTGAAACTGCATTGTGGTAGCATTACTGCTCAGCAGCAATAAGGGCCGTCCCTTGAACCCTACAGAGTTGGATTCAAGAGTCTGAATAGCTGGGACCATTAAAAACATTATGTCAGGTCTGTCCATGTCCTCAAGTGGGAATTGTGCAGGAATAAGAGCAACAGGTCCTCCTCCATAGGCCTTAACAACTCAGCTTTCTTTCTTTAGTGCAGGTGGTAGACTTAAGTTTTTCTGCATCACCTGGTTGACTCCTGTATTACTGTGTGGGTCACCGTGCTGGGTGATGAAGGGGACAGGAAAAATATCCTCCTAATATTAAGTAGATATTAAGGTCTTGGTAGAGCTGTCATTCCCCAGTTTAATAAAAGTCTAAAGCATAGAAGTGCTGGGAAGGAAAAGCCATTTCTCTACTCATCTACTTCAGCAGAAGAAAAGGAAATTTATATAGTGGTGTTACATGGCTGTGTAATACCTGTTCTGTGTTCACACCAGCTGGGAGTGTCTAATCCAGCCTGGACCTCACAGCCTGGCATGGCACCACGTTGCTGGGATGGCACAAACTCACAGTCAGAGTTATTGCAGTTATTGCAGAGGCCAGTGTGGACGTGGACAACTGCTCTGGTGCCAGACGGTGATGATGACGTTCTGTCTGTAGTTCTCTAGATGTATGATCGATAAACAAAAGAGCTTGTAGGCTTTAATTAGGAAAATGCAAAGATGGAATTGATGTGCAGGCAGAATTAATTTTCATTAATTTAAATTAATTCTTTAAATTTTAAATTAATTAATTTTAATACAATTGTTTCTATTAGGAGGTCTGACTGCTGCAGTCAATCATTGTGATCACCTCTGCAACACAGTTGCAGGGAGAGAAATACTCTTCCAAGATTAATGTATGAAAATTGGCCTGTCAGTGTTTCTATTCCTGTTTCTAATTTTATCACTGATTATTACAGTTGCCTTTGTAATACCATTTTTTCGTCTTGGACCTTCTTTCACTTTTCCCTCTAAAAAACTCTGTGGAGTAGCTTTTAGTTCACAGGGATGATGTAGGTTAAGCTTTACCCAGTAAAGTGTTTAGAAATTACTGGATGAAAACTGGTTATCAGTGCAGGATATTGTTGAACTATTTCACTGCCAAATGACTCATCCCAAGAAGTTTATAAAAATAGAGTTCCAATGGGTTTTTGTTGTTCAGTTGTATTGTGACTCCAGAATTACATTATCACAGCTGCATGGGCAGCTCAAAGGCCATGTTGCCCCACTGTAAGAAGGACTTGACAAGCATTTTCCTGCCCGATGGTCTCCAGGCATTTGGGTTGTTTTTATCTGGGGCAGAGATTCTCAGGAGACTTTTCACTTGAGCAGGAGGGAATTGATATAATGGAAAAGACTTTTCCATGTTGTTATGGAGGAAAAAATTCCTCAAACTCTGGTCTTACACTAAGAAATGTGTTTTGTGATTTTTGTAACTGCAGCTGGAAGCTTTACAGCGAGCACACACTGAGTGTGTGTTTCTGCTTTTCTGCCTCAAGTGAGTTTGAAATACTCCCAGTTATTTGCCTCTCAATCAGATTTATTTCCTCATTCAGGCTAAGCAGTTCCAGTTTGCTCCACAGTCAGACACACTGAACAGTCGCTGTAAGTTATGTATCCACTTCAGTTTTGGTTCATGTATTTCTGATTGTTTCTTGGTTTTGTTTTGTTGAGGTTGATGAGAAGAAAGCAATGGAAAACAGAGGAGAGAAATATCTGTATGAATCCCCACAATGACTTCTGTCATTTTGTTTTTGCTTGTCTGAGGTCAGACTGTGACATTTAAGCCTTTTTGGTTTAGAGAGGAGTATTAAAACCCATCAGTGAGTGTTTTCTCACTTGACACCAGCACAAAGTTAGCACAAGCTGCATGTGACAGGAGGAAAGATCCATTCAGTGTTTCCCTGCCCTTACCTCCTCCATCTAAATATGATACCGAGTCCCCACATTCACAGAATTTTGGTGTCACCCACATCCTAGAGTTTTCCATGCCTATAAAGGCTTAGGGGCAGTCAGAAGGGAAGCACTATGTGTTGGGACCTGAGTGAGATCAAGCCTGTGTGAAACAGGGCCAGTGGTGCTCCACAGAGG